GTCGAATGATCAGTTTGGAGTATCCTAGTTTCTTGATGTCGTTCAAAAGTACTTTGGATCCATATGGACCTTTTGTCACACCTTTGTAGGGCAACACATGAGCAAAAAGATGCTTCGTCCATCGATCTCTGACAACAAGAATTGGTGCATGAGTCTTCTCGTCCAAAACTACATCATCAGTTCGTGAATTCATGAAACAGTAGTCTACAGTCACTACTGGGGTTGTCTCATCGGTGTGGTCTATTTTCCTGTGGGGGTTTGCCTTTGCTTTTCCCCTTACACAGGCTTCACACCAAGACCTAAAAGGGAAGTGTGACACAACATGCTCTTCAAACTCTTTTCGCGTCGGGCGAATGGGAGCATGGATTTTGAGCTCAGGCGGCACTTCGTCGCCTGGCTCGGCCTCTTCGGCCTGCTCGTCCACTACCGGACTTACCCATTGCGGTGCCGGACGAAAGGGTGGAATGCAAGCGGCACAGAACAGACGCCGTTGCTGAACGAGATCGGAATCTTAGTCCCGTCTCGGGAGATCTGCCCACCAGATCCGTGCATCTGAATGCGCCAGCCCTTGCTCATAAGGGCCCCCGCGGAGAGCAGCGGTTTTGCAACCGCCATCACCCGGAAACAGCAACGTCCATTGAGGGAGTTCTGGCCGATGCCGATGGTCACCATGGCATCGATCTTGCCAAGGTCCTTGACCACTTCGCCTGACGCAGTCTTGTAGACTTTGCAGGTGCCTTCAGGCTGGATAGGCTTGTAGCCCAATGCGGTGGCCAGTTCAACAGGGATGCAGGAGGTCGCGGCTCCTGAATCCAAGGTCACCTGATGAGCTATTGGCGTTTCCATGGATGCCAGCTCCAAACTTCTGAGAGCGAGTGGATCTTCATCGCCTTCATCAGGCTCGCTTGAGGGAGTGGGATATCGTTTTCCCTTTCCCTTCTTGGCCTCACGGGCAGCATCTTGAGTGGCCACGTTGACAGCTCGAGTCAACTGCACTTTCTTCTGCTTGCCCTTTCCTTGGCCCTTCTCGGAGGCAGCCGGAGCCGAAGCGGCTCGGCTTTTGCCCGGGGATCGTGACCGGGACTTCAGCCGAAGCGTCTGCCTTGGCGCTTCGCTGGATTCCTCTGGCTTGGATCCTGGTCCACGGAATCGCTCTAGGTGCTCTTCAGTCGAGCTCTTGAACCAGGCCACGCGCTCCTCCTTGGTCTTGCCCTTCTTCTCAGGAGGTGGAGGTGTCTTGGCAATGCGCCTTTGCTTTGGCGTCTTTGGGCCAACCTCATCTTCCTCCTCCTGTTCTTCCATCATCTGCTGCATATGGGCTGTCATGTAGAAAGGAGGTTCGTTCTTGACGGTCTCAAGCTTTGGATCTTTCATCTTCAAATGCTTTGCCACATCTTCGGGCTTCAGATCCATGTCGGCATCTTTCACATGCTTTGGCGCATCTTTTGAAGTTGGGCTGCCTTGCTGTCCCTTGGCAGTCTTGATGCGCTTTCCCATCTCTTTCTGCATGATCGTCCATTCCTTTGCCCACTGGTTGAGGACTTTTGGCGGGCAACAATTCAAAGCCATATGGTGGTTCCATAGGCCGGTGTCATTGTCACACCTCAGGGCCTTGTTGCACGCACGGCAGACCATGTTCTTGCTGCCATCTCTGTTCTTGTGGGTGCATTTGGCTACCCATTCATCATAGCTGAGGATGCGCTCTTGGAACATGTGGTCGAGCCATGGCACGGTATCTTTCTCTTTTTCTTCTTCTTGTCCATCTGACTCCTCGTCAGCTGGCTCAGTGCCATTCTCATCCTCTTCAACTTCACCTTCATACTCTTCTTCTTCTTCGAGTCCCTCGATCTCAGTCACATCAAGGGGATTGATGTTCTCCATGACTGGAGCTGCGAAGGATGGTGCGCTTGTTGCTCCTTCGCCTTGGCTTTCGACGCGCTTCATCACAACATAGTCCTCTGGGTTGAACCCAGCTGCAGTGAGCGCCTTGTCGATGACACTGCGGGCTGGATGGCTAGTAGCCGTCCATGTCTGGCTTTCCCGCTTCATCTCTGCCAACTCTTGAGTGGAGAGATCCTCGATCTTGGGCTCCTTCTCTTTTGGCTGTTCAGGCTTCTTTGCCTTTCCTGGCTTCTTGTAGCCACGATGCCTCTGGGCCTTTTCTCGACCTCGAGGCTGAGGGGCTTCATCAAATTTTCCTTCATCATCTCCATCATCCCAAGCTTGAAGTCGACCAGTACCCTTGGCGCGAGCGATCTCATAGTAATCGAGCTCCTCAGGGTAATTGGCCTCATAGTCGCGCCAGGATTCGAAACGATCCTGGGCCTTCTCAACGCGATGCTGCTCGGCGCGCTGACGGCTCTTCTCTTTCTTCTTGGCCAATCTTGGATCCATACCTGATGCCAAATCAGCTGAGAGCCTTGGCGACTCCGCCGGAACCGAAGCGGCTCGGCGAGAAGTTGGCCTCTTCAGCAAGATCTTGGCTTCTCTCTCCTTTTCTTCATACTGTTCTTTCAGCCTCTTCATCTCGGCCTGTTGTTCCAAGATGGCGTCATTGGCTGCTTTGCCTTTGGCTTCTGCCTCTTCGATGGCCTTCTGGATTGTCTCAGACTTCTTCTCATACAGCTCGCGATTGGACTGCATGGTCTCTTGGATTGCTTGGTTCATGACTGCAATCCCAGCAGCTGCAATTCCAGGACGACCTTTTCCAGCTCCTGGCTTCTTTGGCATAGCTTTGACTTCAGTCTCAGCTTTTGCCTTGGCTGCTCCACGAGAAATTGCGGCAGGTGCTACTTTCTCCATCTCGATGGCAAAGAGGGTGGCGATGTCAGCGGAATACTCAGGCTCGGGTTGATGCTCTTGAGCCATAGAGGTTTCAGATTCCTCAACTGATGCTACCTTCTTACTCTTACTCTTGCCTTTACCTTTAGAGTCTTTGCCTTTGCCACCTTTGCCTTTACCCTTGGAGTTTTGGTTGTACCAACTACTCTTGTTCCAATCATTCTTATACCAATCGTTCTTGTTCCATGAGTTGTTCCATGACGAGGGATTGGACCATGAAGAACCTTTTCCCTTCTGTTTACCTTTGTCGTTTCCCTTGCCTCCATCTTGACTCTTTCCTTTTCCTTTGCCGCCTTTTGAGCCACCTTTGCCTTTTCCTTTGGCTTTAGCCAGACTCGCAAGTGAAGCTTGCATCTGGCTGGCAGCTGCGGCTAATGCGTCAACATCCATTGGTGCTGATCCAGTCTTTGCTTCTTTTCGGCTCTCGATGTTCTCGAGGTAAGCCAAAATCTCTGACTTCATGATGGCATAGTCAGTGAGTCTTGAACTCTGGAGGTCAAGGTGATCTTGAAGTTTGGATGGACACATCTGCTGAAGACAACTTCTTGCGATGTCATCATCAAGAGCTTTCTTCTTTCGCTCTTCGTACTTTCGCCTGATGTTTTCCCAGGCTTCTATGCTCTCTCTGAGCTTGTCCAATGCACACTGTTGTGGGTGGAGGACCTTCTTCAGCAAAGCTGAGTTTGCTTGCGGGTTCTGTGGATCATACTTGGTGATCAATCGTCTCAATGCCTCTAGGCCAAAGTGCTGACCTCTGGAGGTATTCTTGACAATCTCGAGGGCTTCTCCCTCACATAGTGAGATCAGAGCCTGTCGGGCCTGAGCTGAAACAAGCTCGGCTCCTTCAGGATAATCATCTTCCAGGGATGTCTCATTGATCTCTGTGTCTTGATGCTCTTCGAGGAGCTGAATGCACTTTCCTGCATTCTTGTGACTTGTCTCAATCCAAGTCTTGAACTTGAAGTACCATGAATCCCAGGTACCTGTGTGTCCACTGAACTTGTCAGGCTTTGGAATGCCTTTCAACTCGGATCTGTCTCTTACTTCTACGCTAGTGGCTATGTTCCTTGTGATTGCCGTTTGTTGTGTATATGCTTCTGCCATTGCTCGTTGCAATTGGTTCTGCCCCTGTGCTAGGGCTTGCATCATCTGTGCAAATTGTTGTGCCATGTCTGTGGCTTGTGGTGCCTGTGCTCCTGGCTGTTGCGCCATGTTGACTTGCTAGCCAGGAATTGAAGCAATCCGGCTTTCCTGCAAGTGATGCTTGTTTTGTGGATCTCTGGTGCCAGAGCCGATGCGGCTCGGCGACCTTCGATTCGCAGACGGTAGCCGGGTCTTAGAACCGCGGCTCCGCTACCATGAACGGAGAATTTAGGCTCTTAAACTCTGTGACCCCAAGTCACTGTCCCAAAGGTTGTAGTAGAAGCTTAGGCACACTTTTAGATCAAACTCGAACAAACGGATTGAACAAACGGCTGCAGTGAAACATGCATCTATACAAGCTATGTCATGTACATGTAACTGGTGCTACATCTGATCATATTCATATATATATATTATATATATATTACTCTCTTTACGTCTCTCTTTCCTCTATTCCTTTCTTTCTCACTATATATATTCCTCTCTTTCTCTTCTCTTTCTCTTCTCTTCCTCCTCTCTTGTTCCTCTCTGCTTCCGCTCTCCTTCCTCTCTTCTCCCTCTCTGCCCCTCTCTCTCTCTCTCTCCCTCCCCCTCTCTCTCTCTCTCTCTCTCTCTCGCTCTCGCTCAGACTTGGTTGCCTGCTGTCTAAGCAGCTCCTCACTTTGCAGAAGAGCCCTGACAAACCGCGCATCAGCTGGCAGCTCTGGGATCGCGACCATTGATGGACCACTGAATTCACTTGCTCTTCTCCTTTAGCCTCCTGTGTGTCTATCGTGGCTACCATGTGTGTGTGTGTGCTCAGTGGTTCTGCCATCAACTTCAAGCTGGTAAGCTGGTTTCAGAACAGTGGCCAATGTGCATGCCATTCTAAGAGGTTCTAAGAGGGACATCCCCTGTCATATAGATGGCAGCGGACCGCAAAGCTTTGGCTTTCTGAACATGCTGCGGCGATGGTGCTGGCACTTGCAGCAACATTTGGCAAGGAAAAGGCTGGACTTGCTGAAAAGGGGTCATTCCTCCTCTCCCACAGCTTCCATCTGGGCATGCCTTAGTCCCATGCGCTACAACTGATGTTGTATATAACAATGACATCGAGCCAAATGTACTGTAGTTTCTTGGACCGCAAGTGGTAGCCTGTGGAACCCAGCTCCGAAGCTGTTCGGAAAAAAGGTGCACCAGGTGCAAAACCAAAAAATGATTTGTCACACTCGCATCTATCTATATAATTCTGAAAAGAATCAAATTTTGACAGGGCACATTCCAGAGGAGCACTGCCGTAAGGCGGTCATTTGGCGCCTCACACCGCTCCACATTGTCACAAATGGCATCCACCATGCACCCAAGAGAACCCTGCTGAAAGAAGAGAGGCAAAAAAGTTTCAAAAGGCTCTCAAATAAATTATAGGCTTCGACACACAACACTTGGAAACAGTTGGACGGAGTCGCTCGCGACAAGCTTCAGCCCCGCACCCCATGGGAGCTGGCTCCGAAAACTGCAGGCGACAAATCACAGTTCAGTTTGACAACGCACTTGCTTCTGGCAGCTCTTCGGGCACTGTGGCATGTAGAAGTATGTCCGTTACAAATCAGCTGCCACATGCAAGGTCCTACCCTTTAAAGCTTAGCTGCAGGATGCTGCAGGTATGTATGTGTCCTTCTACGAGCCGCGGGAGTGATTGCCCCCAGGGAGAAAAGAAACCCTTTGCATTCCCATGCTGAGTGGAATGGACATCTCCAAGTCCTGCCTGCCGCTTTGAGAGGGCCACACCCTGAAAAAAGGAGTAAGACTGGCCGTGCTCTACACGAGAAAAGTGTTTCCTTCCAGCTTCCTTTCAATGAAAATCCGATGACTGGTAGCTCAGGGCAAAGCAGCGCTTGGCACATCATCCTCGTCTTCTGCGTCAAAGTCGATGAATGTGTTTTTCACCTGCGGAAGTCCAAATTTCCGAAGCTTTACACATGCTCCCAGCTGCTCCCATGTGATTACACATGCTTTTCATCAGGAGAGGCTTTAAGGACGCAGCCACCAGGAAAAAGCTCCAGCCTTAATGCCTTCAACCTGCACGGTCTTGCCGTTCATGACACCTTGCCTTAGGGCAAAAACTCTCCAGCTTTGATCTTTAAAGAAAAAGAAGCTACTAGTAGCTTCTGAGCCCCTAGTAGCGTCCTTGCTCCTAGTAGCGATGCCAGGAGCCCCTTGCTCCTAGTAGCGATGCCAGGAGCGCATAGTAGCGTCCTTGCTCCTAGTAGTAAGGCCCGGAGCCCCTAGTAGCGTCCTTGCTCCAGTAGTAGTATGGCCAGGAGCGCCTAGTAGCGTCCTTGCTCCTAGTAGCGATGCCAGGAGCTCCCCCTAGTAGCGTCCTTGCTCCAGTAGTAGTAAGGCCAGGAGCCCCCAGTAGCGTCCTTGCTCCTAGTAGCGATGCCAGGAGCTCCTAGTAGCGTCCTTGCTCCTAGTAGTAAGGCCAGGAGCCCCTAGTAGCGTCCTTGCTCCTAGTAGCGAGCCCCTAGTAGCATCCTTGCTCCTAGTAGTAAGGCCAGGAGCGCCTAGTAGCGTCCTTGCTCCTGGTAGCGATGCCAGTAGCCCCTAGTAGCATCCTTGCTCCTAGTGGCGATGCCAGGAGCCCCTAGCCGCGTCCTTGCTCTTAGTAGCGCTGCCAGGAACCCCTAGCAGCGTCCTTGCTCCTAGTAGTAAGGCCAGGAGCCCTAGTAGCGTCCTTGCTCCTAGTAGCGATGCCAGGAGCCCCTAGTAGAGGAGCCCCTAGTAGCGTCCTTGCTCCTAGTAGCGATGCCAGGAGCCCCTAGTAGCGTCCTTGCTCCTAGTAGTCAGGCCAGGAGCCCCTAGTAGCGTCCTTGCTCCTAATATCGATGCCAGGAGCCCCTAGTAGCGTCTTTGCTCCTAGTATCGATGCCAGGAGCCCCTAGCAGCTTCTTGCTCCTAGTAGTAACGACAGGAGCCCCTAATAGCGTCCTTGCTCCTAGTAGCGATGCCGGGAGCCTCTAGTAGGGTCCTTCCTCCCTAGTAGCATCCTTGCTCCTAGTAGCAATGCCAGGAGCCCCTAGATTTGATGCCATTTGCAATCATCGCGTAAAACTGCAGAGGCTCGGGCAGAAAGCAGAACGCTCAAGCAAGCGTGTCCCTGCAACACAGAAAGTGTAAGCCAATTCCTAGAGTAGGATTGGATTGCGAAAGGGTGCAGGCGTCTGTACTTTTTGCTCAGCAATCAAGAATACTTTATCTTGGATCCTTTCTAAGGCTCAAATGATCAAAGTCATGGCATAGCAGTTGAAAGCTCAAAACTGAGAAGCAAACTGGGACACGTGCACGGATGGCAGGTTTGCGAGTTCAAAGACTCTTCAAAATGAAAGGCCGTTGTCAGTGAAAGGCTTCTGAAATCCAAGGATTTCTTATATAATGCGCCGTATACTGTCTTTATCTGGTTTCTCTTGATGCTTGGCCACAGTACTCTTAGCCAGCCCAAGTAGGTTGAGCCAGCTCAGGCGAATATATCATGACTAACAACCAGGCAAGCCATTCCAAGCACTGAACGCAGCTTGATGGAACTTTGATACATTACTGCACTAGTTCTCAGCAAACACCAAAGAGTTGGCCAGTTCTTGGTCCCCCGATGCCAGGAGCCCCTAGTAGCGTCCTTGCTCCTAGTAGCAATGCCAGGAGCGCCTAGTAGCGTCCTTGCTCCTAGTAGCGATGCCAGGAGCCCCTAGTAGCGGCCTTGCTCCTAGTAGCGATGCCAAGAGCCCCTAGTAGCGTCCTTCCTCCTAGTAGCGATGCCAGGAGCCCCTAGTAG